CAACTGTGGACGAAATTTTATTCGTCCGCATCTTGTATAGCTTTGCATATGGGTTTTCTTACAAAAAGTTATAATATAGTTATTTTTAATCGACTTTACCGAGTACTTAGATTGCTTAATCTTAGTTCGTTGATTGTCTCATACGGACTTACTTCATCTCAGATTCTGCGTATCTTTTGTTTTCAAGAAGGAAATTTTTGTATTAGTATGTTATGGAATTTTTAATATCGCAATCTTTTTTTCAGCATATATTTATTTTACTGCATTTAAGTATTACTTGAGATTCAGTCTAAAGAAATGAACAGTATAAATAAAAAGCAGAAAGTGAGCTGAAATGATCAAACCACTGGTAGCAGTATTCATAATTTTAGGCTTGTCACTTATCAGTCAATCAATGATTAATTTATTTATTTCTAAAACTGAGATGGATCGAACTTTGGGTAAGTTAAAAGTTTGGATTTGAATTTATTGTCAGCTAGGAAAAACAAATTTAATTTTCTTAAATGTGCAAATTATCTTACCTTTGTATTCTTTATATACCTTTATGCAAGGATTATAAAGGATTATATAATTTTTCACAATTTTACTATTTTATTAGTGTAGTTCACTTTAGACTTGATTAAAGCAAATTTGCATAAAATTATATAATCCTTTTTTTCGATCATTAATTTTCAGTTGATTTAAATTTTAATACATCTTTCTGGATTATACTTTATTTTAAGGCTTGAAAATTCAGTTGAATTATATTCAAAACGGTTTTGTTGATTTGTATTCTGTCAAATTTCCGTATCGAATAAATACAAACATTGATTATGTGGAATATTCATGGAACACAAAACTTCTTCACCGACCGGTTAATCTTATTTTTACTTTACAAATTTTTACTTTTATACAAAACATAAAATTCGATTGTGTAACACAAAATAGAGAAGTATGATTTATCTTGTCATTTTTCTATTTAAATTCAAAAATTAGCATTGCAGTATTGAATACGAAATTAGTATCAGACATATTTATAAATTATAATAATTTTTTTTCTAATAATAAAATTAATAAATGACTTAAAAATATATAAATTTTACCTTTAATATATAAGTTATATCTCTTTTTTCCTGACTAGCAAGTTTATTGCTATCATTATTATTTTTGAATTGTTTTTCTATTTTTCTCAGGTCATGAGACTATGGCTTTTGTAGGTGCAATATTCGATTCGAGTAGTACCTCATGATAGTTCCATACTTTCATTACTTCAGATTCCTTCCATAGGAATACTTCCACTGAACGTTGAAAGTGAATTTTATTTCGATCTTAAATGTGACAGCATTTACAATCATATTTTCGATTACTTTTCATTTCATCAAAACTTTTTGTAATAAATAGTATTGTTTAAATCAATGGAATCTCGCTAACTTTTTGTTAGCTATCAGCAGTTTGATACGAAGTTTTGAATCAGAGATTTCTGCTAATAATGCTAACATACTTTCAGCATTTGAAATTGCGTATCGATGTATAGGAATCAAAGCAGGCAAATTTGATCTTCACGTCAATTTTAACTTCACTTGGCCATCTTCTGCTAATCAAACCAAAGTTACATTAAAGCAAGAAAAATTGTGCGCAAATCGAGAAATTCGTCTTGCATACGGTTTTTGTTTAATTCACCTATTTCGTGAATAAATCTGTAAATATCGTAAGGTTATGCGTGCATTTTTATTATTACTGCTCAGCAATTACTTCATTAGGACTTAGCAGACATAGCAGTTTATTTTAGCTAGTGATGCAAAGTTTATTAGAAGAGTTAATTTAGCCAATTAATTGAACTAAATATTATGAGTTCTCTTAAAATATGCCCATGGGATTAGTTTACTTATATTTCAAATTTTTTGGATACAAAATTAGTTTCGATATTATCATGAAATAGTGTATAAGCTTGATCCGTTTCATGCAGAAATCTCAGTTAGAGCGCTAATCTCAAAGTTTTGCTATTAAGATTGAGCCTACTTATATCAACAGTTTTACATTTTTTGGTGTTCCTAAGAATTGCAATTTTTATGTGTTCAAAATTTGGATTGTCATCTGATTTTAAGTGATTACTAAGGTCACAAAGTTAAATTAATAATCTACTGAATTATTAGTCTAATATTTTAAATATATCCAAATATATATAGATGAAGAGAAGTGTTTTGCTAACACATAAAAAGAGACCAATATATCACACAAAAATTTTTTGATCTGTTGAAATTGTAAAAACGATTACTATTTTAACGTTTATATTTATGGTAAATCAGTTATGAATTTAAGAAAATGTGTTACAATAATTTTTTCTAAAAGTAAATTGTGTGAGAAATATTTTTGTATATCCAATAATAATAACAATAATAATAATAACAATAATAATAGTAACAATAATAATAATAATAATAACAATAGTAATAGTAACAATAATAGTAATAACAATAATAATAATAACAATAGTAATAATAATAGTAATAATAATAGTAATAACTCATTATTTATTAATGCTTTCATCGTTATGATTGAAAAGTAATGTAAATTTACTGCGGGTACAAAAGAATTTTATAATTTTTTTAGTTCGAAAATTGAACATAAGATGAAAATGAATAGAAATTATTTGACTTTAATGAGCTGATTAATTGCTGAAAGTGCCTTAGCAGCAATCGGCGAACGACCGCGCAGACAGGTGCGCAACACAATGAACTAACGGCATCTGTCTTCTCTTTGCTTTCAAATTTACTATTTTCTTTTTTTGTCTTTTAAAAATTATTTAAACAGAGGTCAGAGTTTAAGTCAAAACCCTTAGACTGATGATTATCTCTTTCAGAGATTTGCTCTTTTTTTAAAGAACAAAAAATCTAGGAATTTTTTAAAGATCATTACACTAATATGTTGGCTGAACTTAAAGAAACTCCATTACTTAAAGAAATAATTGTCATTTATCTGTCGACTTATGCATTCTTAATTTTTGAAGTTGCTAGAAGTGGCAATAACTCTTGCCTAGTAAAAGAATAATAGATCTAAAAAAGATTAATATGCTTAATTTAGTACAGCAAATTTTCAGTGATGAATATGAAATGTAATCAAGGAAAGTAATCTGAAGATATTCTCAAATTGGCATCAGTTTTGCATATTAAAATAATCCCTTTTGTATATATTTGAATCAGATGTAGAAAAATAGACAGCTAGCGAATATGTGTGCTGAACTGATTAAGTAATTATTCTGTGGATGTTTTACCAGAACTGTAAAAGTAAGACTTCTAGCGAAACGATAAAGTAAAACGAACCATTGTGTCTATATAAAATATGCACATAAAAGAGATGGAATATGCATAATTAGAAAAAGTAATTAAGCATAAATTGTTGTGGAATGGATTAGATAAGTCTTTGCAAGATACCGCTTGGATTTATTTTATTGTTTTTATAGCAATATATAGTAACAGTAATAATAGTAATAATAATAACGATAATAATAATAATAATAACAGTATTATTAGTAATAGTTGTAATATTATTGTTTAGTTAATAAATAAAATTAGCGCTATCCTTTGAGGAGCAAATAGAATTAAATAAGCAGAATTCAGTCTTTTGTCTATTTAATCTTTTTCACAAAATGTTAACTTTTATGAGTGAATATTTGTTAAGAAATGGCAAGCTTTCAGCTAGTGCTCATAAATTTGTCTGTTTTAACTCGTTAGAGCAAATGAGAAAAGCATAAGTTTACTTCTAGCAAATAATGTGAAGATGAATTCTTCTAGGCTCATTGATAGTTTAGAAAATCCATCCTCCCGTAGTCATCAGATACTTTCATATCAGAGGGTTTCAGGATTAGCTTGAGGTGCTGGTACGAATCAGATATGAATTGATATGATGACCAGATCTGATTCTGTTTCCATTGATGCTGATGATCCTTTGTACATTTTCAATTATGGTCAGTTCTTTTGTCTTCATTTAACTCTTAAGTTCAAAAATGTATTACGGAAAAGGTTAAGGGTCATACTTGTTTATGAAATTTCTTAGTGAACTACACTGATAATTATTTGAAGGTTTACATGGAATTCTGATTATTATTGTCTATATAAAATGTATTCTTTTTATATCATTAAAACTTTAAAACTATTAGTTGGAGAACATATATTTAGTTAATTATTTATCATTAATTAGTCTTTCAAACTTTGTTGTAAGTTTAACTGAGAAGTTTTAATGACGTTGAGCCGACTTTTAATTGAATTATGATTTAATCAGACTTCATTTGAAATATTTTTATCATTGATTACTGCAGTTTTTATCATTGATTACCATTTATATTAATATTTAATTCAACAAAAAATTTTTTGAAAATGTCTGAAACTAACTTTAATTTAAAAGTTTATTTAAAAATTAATATAATTAATATTAAAATAGGCATTTGTACGATCAATATTTAAATTATTAGTACAAGTAAATCGTAAGCAGTAAATCGGACTGATAATTTATTGGACCACTTTTCGAGTGTTTAGACTGTAAACTGAAACTAAAGGTTTCGTAGAGAAATTGATATCAAATCAAGCTAAGTAGTGTAAATTGATATCTAATCCAAAAAACAAATCAAAATTTAGTATTTGCGCAAAATCTACTTCACATGTCTTGATTGGATTCTAATGGATTGTACTGATATCAATTCTGATTCTGTGCATTACTATTCATGAATAATGGCTGCTAGATTGTATTCTTAACTGATAACTAACGTTGCTA